GTATAAATTCTAAATTGATACTCGTGGACGTTTATGACACAGTTGCTGAAAAGCGACCTTAAATAAATATGTTTTTTTTTAAATGACTGATCAAGAGCGCGTCTCATTTGATGGCCTGTCCTGCGCGTGTGTGGGCAACCGAAGTAGACAACTGTCTGTCGAATCTGCTTCGCGCCAGGGGAGGGGGGCGTTCGGGCGCTATTCGGGCCACCATGGGCAATCTGGCCCGATTTTCTATTTTGAGCTGGCCTAGATCCTAGATCATGTTTCATTACGATACCAGTTCCTAACCCCCATGACTGCTGAAGGAAATGGAACTGATGCCACTGCAGTCCCTCTGACCATGAGGGAGTAGGTTCGAGTCCCGTCGGTAGCAAGATTTTCGACACTAGTTTATCAGCTGGGTCAAGTTCAGCCGATGTCTGGAGGAGAATTCTAGCGGCCGGCTGCTCTGATCGGTAGTTTTCCGTGGTTTCTCCGATCAACACTAGGCGAATGCCGGAGTAGTACCCTAACAAACGGGCCACGGACCGCGCGCGATCTTTCCTACCTCTCCCTTGTCTTATCTTCACTCCCTTCACATACACTAATATGCACTACACTAGCAGGCATGCGGGGAGATCGGTCGAGTGCTTAGAGTTTGCCCCGCTGGTGAAAGATACCTGGTTGGGAAAACCCCGCTAGCTGACGATGGTCGGCGTCGGATCTTGCCATCCAGCGGGGGAAAACCACCGCTATTTCCCGAGCAAAAAATGTACTACACTTACGTGACTAATGTCCTCGGTAGTTGACGAGCCCGGAATCACTAACAATCAATCAATCAATCAAGGAAATATGTGAATTATAAGTGAATATGAAGGTTTGGTATGAATGTTGATCTAGCTATAATAGTGAGGGGCAGATGAAACAGAACATCGAGAAATGCTGCCGCGAACCCTCATAGTCCACCGCGAATTTTACATGAAACGACCGAGATATGAAACCCGGTCTCAATAGGATATCGATCTGACTGTGTCACCTCGGGTTGCCCTCACCCCTAGGCAGCAGGTGCTTTCCTACTTGCTAGGTACGCAGCAGCACTGGAACAGAACAGAAGACAAATGCTTATACCTCGCACTGGCCCAGTACGCGGCAAGTATTGAGACCGGACAGTAGACAGTGAAAAGTGTAGAATAGGCATTTACCCTAAACGCTGATGTATGTCTTGCTTTTTGATATATTATTCAATCCGTTCCAAATGAAACAAGGCTTTGTTTGTTCACTCTTGACATATTTAGTCTTGGTTTGCGGCGTCATTTCGCTTTTTGGCGCGTAGTGTCGCCGTGAACAGCTTTATTACCCTCGCTCGCTTCAAAAAAAAAAAAACAAAAAAAAAAAAAACCGAAGGGACGACTGTCCAACAATTTCAAGCGGAAAATATGATTAGTTCTTGGAAATGTGTAGTATAAAAAATTGGGTTTCAATGAAATTGAAAATTAAATGTTTAAAACAGTGTTGAAAAGTTAAATAGTTAAAGTTCACTTTCACTTCACTCGTTTTCTGTGAATTATATTAGCAATTAAGAATGTCTGAATGCCACGAATAATTTGTGTCGACATTATTGGACTGTAATGAAAAACATAACTGAAAGTCGAATATGGAAAATTAGTAAATTAGTAGTGATACATTTTATCAGTATTTTCTCGTTTCGTTAATTGAATCGGATACGTTATATCAACTTATCGTTGAAACGTATTGCAACTTCTAATTCTTGTCTTAAAAAACTTCTTAACAAAACGACGTCCGAGAGACGCGAAAACAAATAAAATCTTTTTTGTTTGTTTTGAATTTGGAAAACTGTTAATGAAAATGAGTTGGCCCATGTACACCGTCATCAATGCTGTAGGTTCGAATTCCTCGTTAGACATGGATGTTTCGAGTTGTTTTTGATATGATGCACATTTCTAGAATCTCATGTATCACCTCGATACGTCGTTTCGTCCCTCATCGGCTGGCTAGGGTTTACCAGGAAAGTAGTCTCTAGCGCTATGAAAGAAAACATCTATAATCTGAAAATGGTACTAGAACCGAAATGAACCAATGAGTTACCTCCTGTATTTTTGTACGTACGGGAGTGACGAAAGAGCCAAGTGCTGCATGTTTTTCTAGGGGCTGGGAGATGCGTTACGTGAATATAGACGCAACAATTTTTTAAAGAAATTAGCATTCGTTTTGTTGAACGCGTCTGGTGATCACTGTGTGGGCCCACTGTGCGGCGGCAGCAGAAGAGGCAGCGGTCTTTGCTCTGTCGTTTCTCTCGCTCGGGCGCTCGCCAACGGCCAGCGCTGGCGATGAAGAAAACGCAAGTTAAACTTCCAGTCCTTTCGTTCAACTCTGCATTGGCCATTTCCGCGCAATGAGGAGGCGCAAGAGTCAATTTGAAGACGATGAGCGGCTTTTTTGTGGAAATAGTTTTAGAAGCGAATGTAAGAAAAAGGCGGGAACCGAAAATTCGTTTATGTGTTCTATTTTCTGTTAGTCGACATCTTGGAAATGTTTTTGCTTTTCAGCCTTGGTCCCGTGAAATAGGAGATAGGATTCTTGTCTGTCTCTTTTTTGGGGCGGGGTTTTGCAATTTAGAAACTGGTGTAGGTTCTCTATATTTCTGAGTACCTTCACAACTCTTGGACCTCGATATCACGTTTAAAATGTACATTCATTTGATATTTAAGTAGTATAATCACAGCTGACGTCATGCCTATATTACAATCTGTAAATGGTCTATTGTAACGGAAATTATTGTGGCTTTTTTGCATTATTAAAAGTGATCCTTGCAGCCGAGCGAAGAAATGAATAGAAGAAATATATCTTGTAATATTTGCAAATACTGTAAATATGAATTCAAAATACCATGTTAACATTTTTGTGTCAGTAAATTGGATCGTTTGTGTTTCCGTTAATATTCTACTGAAGAGTAGATTTGTATAATAGGTGTAGTGCATTGTCATGTTTGAGCATTTTGAATAATGGTACAGATCTAAGACTTACCTTAGAAACCTAACTCATAAATGTGATTTCATGTTAATTTTTCTTCACAATATTTCACTTTATTAGGAACAAATTCATTTGCTCTATTTTGGAGAAAGACCATCGTTGTGGCTGAAATATACGTGTAGGAGTAATGTGCTCATTAAAGCACACGAATAGAGTTACCCTTTTCGCGAGATCCTACGAATTCAATTAGATTTGGTTCTTCCAGTGTCTATTACGTGAAAATTATCGAACGCTGTGAGGGAAACTCAAAAATAAAAACCTATATTCCAAAATTAAATTGAATATTTTGTGCAGAATGGAACGAATTATCATGGTCGTATCTTTTAAAAAATGTTTGTACTTCCAGTCTGAGCAGTCTCAACTGACTTCTTCTTTGGTCCTATCTTCCATATACGGAAGTTAGGTGACCCATAACGGGTTTTCTTAGGTTAAATTATTCGGGGTGGTTTCCCGTTGCCTTCCCCGATATGATGATGATGATGATGATGATGATAGGGGTGAAAGGAGGAACACAATACAACCATGCCCGAGTCGGGACTCGAACCCGCGATTTTTTCGGTACGAGATCGCTACGGCACTACTGCCTTAGCGATCTCGGCCACCGGATCGGCCTCCACTGACTAGACATTCACAAATAAAAAAACTGAAGTAAAATTTTGATTTTGATACTAAACAATTTTGGACAAACTTGAAAACACATGATCATTATAGAAAATCTTATACGAAGTAGGATACACATATTTACATAACTTAATACGCATATAATACGCACATACGCCAATAATACGTACATACACAGATAAGTTAATGACATTAAATTTGAAAAATAACCGTCAATATTCCTTAAAATATATTATTTACCAAGATTTGTCATCAATTAACTGCCAACAAGAAACAAAAAATAAAATAAAATCTCAATTATTCTTGTTGATTGACTTACCGTTGTCTATTCTCAAACCCTTCAAACACACTCGTGCACTCTTGTGGGTTCTGTAAAAGGCAAAATAAATGAAGTAGCATTACATACTGTGGGAATATGATATTGTTTCTTCCAGGACATTTCATTTTAGCTAACGTGAGTCCTCTCTATGTGACTTAACTTATCTTCAGCAGGTAACACAACGGTTTAAAACGAAGATTCCGCTCCCACACAGGAATAATGAACTGTGGAAACTGATGCAACTTACTAGTTACGTTGTCATTGGGGACACATCCCTCCTATCCTGGTCAGTTCCACACGCTGCAAATTTAATTAGGACATCGATAATGTTGAACTTGTCAGACTGTACCTTCTGGTTGCCGCACGAGATGACATATTAAGGTAGTGTTGTGCCTTCGAGGACTTAAACTACTGGTCGATTGTTTCTTATAATATTGTATGTGCTGTGGCTCAGGATACACCTTCTCAAAGGGATCTTCGCTTCATGAATAGTGATGGCAAAGTTTGACAAAAACCGATACAATATTTCGAAACATCACCAAAAGATTTTCGATGTCGCTGAAAACTTCGACAATAACATCGATATTGAAAGTATCGATGTTTCAAATATGATGAAACATTTTGCAGTAAAATGCCCTGGTTCAAATGGAATACATGACGTGTCAATATTTGTTTAAAGTACGTTCTGCTTAAAATTTGATGTCTATTCAATATTCAATGTAGTCACGGTTCAAGTTGCAGTTAACGATATTACCACATACAAAATAATAAAAAATGTTAACATCAGTGGAGCAAGGTTGCAAAATAGCAAACCGTTTCGTGCCGGCAGGATTGACAATAGTGACAGTTGTCAATGGCTGTTGATTGCCAGCAGTCCACAAATAAAATATATACTGAAAACTGTATGTATGTCTAGAGAATTTTTAAAAACATCGATATTGTAATATCGATGTTTCTGCTCGAAAATATCGATGTTTTAAAAGCTTCTATATTTTGTTGCCATCCCTATTCATGAAGTGTTTTATAGTGTAATCATCGTCGATGTCGTTGTCGACACTGACCTCGTCAGCTTCACGTCGCATTCACGGCTAACACTACGGATATTAAGGAAGTCGTCATTGTTGTCACCGTCGTCTTCGTCGACACTGACCAAGTCAGCTTCATCGGAACTTTTGACGTTAGCGACGCAGTCGGTATCAACGAAGACGTTGCCTCCGTCGCAGTCCTGGCCTAAAGCACGGATATTATGGGCAAAGCCGTGCCCGTCGTCACTGACGAAGTCAGCTTCGTTGGTATCTTTGGCGTTAGTAACGTCGTCGGTATCATCGAAGTCGTTGTCATCTTTGCAGTCCCGCCCAAAAGCACGGATATTTAGGGCAAAGACGTCCCCATCGTTGCCTCCGCGCCGTTGTCGTTGCTACAGCTTTTGCTGATTCCATTGCCGATGCCCTGCCGCCACCGCGAGTGGTGCTGCCGCGACAGTCGTCGTCCTTGCCGTTGCCGCCCCCACCTCGACCGCCACCGCCTGTCGTCGCCCGGGGCCTCATGCGGGTCGCCACCGCCCGGGGCGTCGCGGGCACGGGACGCGGTGCGGGCCGGCGGAGGGAGGCAGAAGCTTCTCTAATTCGCGCTGCTCCAGCATGCAACCTTGGGCGGTGGCACGAGAACGGCCGCGCTCGGCCGCTGCCGTGCCGTTGCATCACCGAATGTTGACACTGTGGTCGGCGCTCTCTCTCTCTGCCTCTCTCTCTCTGCCTCTCTCTCTCTGCCTCTCTCTTCTCTCTCTGCCTCTCTCTGCCTCTCTCTCTCTCTCTGCCTCTCTCTCTCTCTCTGCCTCCCTCTCTCTCTGCCTCTCTCTCTCTGCCTCTCTCTCTCTGCCTCTCTCTGCCTGTCTCTCTGCCCAGTTTCCCTGATAATTTGATCAAATGCTGAGTGGACCCTTGTTTGTCTTCTGGGCATAAATGCAGCTTCACTATCTGCGCACATTTTTTTAGCACAGTTGAGAATCTAGTTATTCGAACTATAGTTCTCAACATTCTCACAGAAGGTAGACGATTTTTTCGAGAAGGGTACGGTACAGATTAATATCTAAAACCTGTAGTTGATTTTCCTTCGCAATTAGTTTTAATTGCACGGGAAAATATTCTTATCAATTGTTTCCAAAAACTCCCGTTGCTCCTTGTATTCATAATTCAACATCGTATAGTGTAGGAACTAGGTAAGCAACCCAAGAAACGTGCAGTTTGCACTTCTCCACATAGTATGTCACACTCACTTTTTCTGTTTTTATGTCAAATAAATAAAAACACAGGATCTCCTCCTCGGCGTATGACCGTTAAGTCGGGATTAGCTAGAACAGAACGTACTCCGCCACGGCGCCCCAACTGTGATTAAGGCAGATCATGGCACGATGATGGTGATGATAATTGGTAATAAAGACAGGTAGTGCCTGATCTGTAATATAGGATGCTGCTTTGGCAATCCGCTAGACGAGATGAGGGAAGTCACTAATCAGAACACTGGGCCTTCTCATTAGATTCCAGCAGGTGCCACAAACTCATCGATGCCAAGAAAATGGCTGGCCCCTCTGGGATGGACCTTGCGACCTATGGTACTCTTCAGCCGTATGGACCGGGGGAGGTGTCTCAAGGCATCAACTGATGTCACTGCCGCGCCTCTGACCGGGAAGTCATGGGTTCGAGTTATAACTGTGGCAGACACCTGCTAGATATCTAGGTCGGATACAAGCGCTATCTGAAGCAGAATTCTAGCAGACGGGTGCTCTGATTGGTAGTTTTCCGTTGGGTCTCCGATTAACACCAGGCGTATGCCGGATCAGTATCCTAAACGTGCAACGGACAGCGTGAGATCTTTCCGTCCTCTTCCTTGCCTATCATCACCCTTTACTTCCACACACTTACATGCAATTCTCAATCTCACATGCCGAGAGACCGGTTGGGAGCATAGAGCTTGTCCCCGCTGGGGCGGTGCCCCGCTGTTGGGAAATACCTGGTGGAAAAAACCCTCTAGTCGCCGCGAAGGTCGGCGTCCGATCTCACCATCCAACTGAGGAATATCTCCGTCACCTCCCGAAAGGGAAAATGCTTTATTTATTCTTACGGGATTAATGACCTTAGCAGTTGACGCGCCCGGGATCACCAATCAATCAATCAAAATCAGCAGCATGGCGTCACCTTTACTTAAGCCGCCACACCCTTCAGAAATTCGGAAATACTTCCCATGTCTCCGCTCGAACTAGACGTGTTGCCAGTCCGCGTCATGAGTGTTCGCTGGCCGTCAGAGGAGAGCGCATAGTGCTTGCCGCCGCCGGCGCCGGAATCGGAACCGCGGAGCAGCCGGGGCGTGTCGCCGCCTCGGCCGGCGAGCACGCAGCGTCTTCGGGGAGCGGTCAGTTCTGATTTCCCCGGAGCGAACGTATCGGATTATTCTATTTCGGTTGATGGTTCATTTCCTGTCCGCCGCCCCTCCCCTTCTCCCTTCCTCCCCCCTCCCGTCTGTTGCGCGCAGACCTCACGCGTGCACGACCCACACCCAAGGGGTGAACGCTAGACCGAGAGGGGGGATTGAGGGGGAGGGCGTCTTGGACGGGACGTGGTGACGTCCGACGGAAGAGGTGGCTGGACGGGAAGGGGTTGCATATTCCGCGCGTGCGTACTCAGGGTCATCGAGAGGATATCCGGGTAGCTCGGTACATAGAAAGTAGTGTACGGACCTTTTTATAAACCAAATCAATACAGTATTTTTATATACTGTTTCTTACAATCGATTATGTTGTTATATTCAGATAAGATATACCTTTCGGTGCTCATCTGTATACAATCTCTTTGTTCGCTTTACCGAGTTCGCGGTCTTAGAACGTGACAATATACATCATCGTGAAATGCGAATGACTTTTAAGCTCAAAAGTATATTATCTCGCAAAACTGAAAAATGATATATTACGATAAAAATAAATGAATCATATATATAATATTGTGACGTACCTGGGAAACGGTACTCTCACGACAAATAAAATGATATAAAGGACGGGTACATTCTACGTGAATGGGCTTCCAGGGTTTGACGTGCATTGGAAGAATGATCGAAGAACTCTTTTGCTGCAATTAATAGTTTAATGGATTGAAACACTATGTAAAAAAATTCTTACAATACGCAGTGCGCAAGGCCTTTTAGTGATTCGTGCACAAGTAACGCTACCTTGAGGCTTTCGATGATCGCCGGCTGGCTGGAGGCGAACGCGGCCGCCGTGCAACGCGCAGCGTGTTCGGCAAACTTCGGTGCCGCCCACAGTTTGTCGGAATGCTCTCCCTGGCGGTCGACTCCGCTAGCCCCCCCAACGAATGGCCAACGAGCTCGCCGGGTCCACCCCCCCAGCCAGTACAAGCAATGTTCACATATACTAACATGCCACAAACGCGCAATTGCGTCCGTCGGTCAGTTCCGATTAAGCAGTTCTTCTCAATCCCACTCAAATGTTCGCACGGTGCGGCCCTGGCGCTGCTGCCATCATACCCGGGCGACAATGGAACGGTGTCTGTCGCCACTCAAATTCCAGTATTAATGTTTTCATGATTCCGGGTCTGGGTTGCGCACTTCCATTTCCTCCTAATCACTTGATTATCAATTTTTATCACTCTAAATCTCCCATTAATGGCTACAATCAATCCACACTGGTTGGTAATATCACTAATAATAGCTTTGCTTAGGCAGCACAGCCCGTCCGTGTTGCGTTCGCGTATTATATAATTATAATAAAAAGTCTACTGGGGGCATTCGGCTCATTGAAGTCCCTTAGCTGCAAAGGCTATTGTCTTGGGTTCATAGGTCAGCCTGAGCTGGATTAGCTCTCCCCTCTGGGCCTGTCCAGTGTACTAGATGGTGATGGACCTGTGATGGAAGGGGGGGGAAGGGAATCGAACATGGTGGCGGGGGTTTGTGTATAAGAGAACTCGGCAAGAATAAAAGGACATTCAAGTTCAGCGCAATATTACGCACTCAATTGACAGAACCTTTAAAAGAATTTTTTGGCAATGGCCACATAGTCATATGTTCAACTCAATGGCATCTACACTTACCACAATGAAGTGCTAAATGCGCGCCTGGTCAAGTGCGTGTTTGC